AAAAAAAAAATGATCATCCCGGAATACAAAGTTGAACCGGAAATCGTGCATGTAACAATAATGAATAAATCATTGCTACCAAAATCAACTCACCAAATCGAACCCCGGGAACGATTTTAAAATCCGATTTTATACAAGGGTTGCAATTCCACTAAATGACTTTTTCCATAATCTCAATTGTTTATAATATTTTCGATTGAGGACTGAGTACCACATTCTCAGATTCGACTGTTAGAACTTAACCATCTCTAAAATGATCCGATACCATCCTATGTAAATAAATAGAGAAATCCTTGAAATTCTCAGAATCGAGTCTTATCGTTTCTGAAACTACAGGTTTCGACAGGTTCATTTAAACATACATCACGAATTTAATTTGGTTCGATCACACATAGTTGATTCCAGCTGATGATACAGTTACTTTTCTATCAGTACTAGTATTGCTTGTCATACTCGATTCGACGGTGTAGGATCGGTTTTACAAACACATCATGCATTTATTTAGATGTTCGAAGATATTGAATTTTAAGTGCCAAATTTGAATTGTCGTCCTTGTGTATATTCCGTTCGTTTTTTTGATTCAAGAACTAGACATCTATCACGCAGAAGTTCTTGACCTATTTGAAAATCGTGATTTGAAGATTCAATATAAAATTTCGATATCTATCGGAAGCTGAAATCGAAGCGTCTATCAAATAGTCAGTTGGGATATATTTTTGTTCGAGATAAAAGATAATGAATGATTTTTCTTTTGTTCAGTTTTTCGAAGTTGTCTTATTCTATCGAAAAGTAACTTCACAATATTACTAAGAAGAAAAAAATTAGCAAACAAAAATAAACAAGACCAAAATTAGATGTGTAAAAGATGAAAAACAAAAAAGATTATAAGTCATTCGATCAACTATTTGAAATCAATTTAATTTTGAATTATAAATATTAATGAGAAACTCACTCGAACGATTTTTCTTGAATATTGTAATAATTTGGATTTCTATTGCCAAGTCTATCTCCTAAGTCAATAGAATAAGTAGCACTTTGTTGATTGTTGGCAATTATTGATATTTGTAACCATTTCCAATGTGTTCCAAGTGTACAATGAAAAATTTCTGGAATCTAAATAAACAATAGTTGTTTATTATTCACTCATTAGAATATGTTATTAGTACGAACTTCTACTGACAATCTCATCTGACATTTATTATAAGGATCAAAAAATACTGTATTTCCATTAGGACTTTCAATCAAAATGTTTAAAACATGAAGTTTATGTTGTCCCTTCGATACTAAAAAAAAAAGTAATCGTGAAAACGGTCCATTATGAAAGTATATTAAATTACCTGTAGAAATTTTGTTTGAAAGGAAATCAATTTGCAATGGTTCTAATGAGTTCTTTGGAAAAAAGCGAATAGCAAGTTGTAAATCTTTAAGATTATATTCACGATTTACAATTTTTTGAACATTTATTGCAGTATCTATTTCATCACCTATAAAATCAAAACATAAACAGAAAAACTCTAATAATAGGAATATATATATGCACCTGATGGATAAGATTCAAGTATATAAGTGTTTCTATCTTTCATTTTGTTGTCGCATCTTTTATGTACTTTCAAGTTTTTGAGTCTGCTAATATAAATGTTTATTATTAATCGATTAGACAATTTTATGCACTTACTCAAGCATGTTGGTCTTATTCCAATATTTTTTGATCGAACGATCAATGATAGACTTGTCTTCACCTGATTTTTGAGAAAATTGATAGACACTGTAATAACGACCTGTCGGTGATTCACTTGTTATGGCTAATTTCATAGAAATGTTGTCAGGTAAACCATCACCACACTAAAATATTAAAATTGAATACAAAAAATTTCATGCATTTCTATTATTATACTAACTACGACTAAAATTGGAGTTTCCCCAAAACAATCTTTTAATTTAGTAATCCTATCTGTTTTTGGACTGAGTCGTTCTTTGAGTGGATGAAGTAAACAAATTTCAGTAGATCCTGCTAATAAAAGTGTATTTTTTTTTCATTTGACTAAATCAAAAACGGAAAAAAAATCTTACCTTCATGGTTGTTCACTTGAATTTCATTAACTGGAGGTAAATGACACAATGATTGGAAATCTATCGAATTTTTCTTCGATTTTTCATTACGTTTTAATTGATTTTCTAAAGATGATGAATAAAATCGATAAGAAAGTTTATTACTTTTGTGCTAGACGATAACACTACATATCGTCAGTATGACTATAGAAAATAAAATTAAAAAAAAAACAAATTTACTTTTCTTAGTTTTTCTTTGATCGATGGTAGTAAATGGAACTAATGCTTGTTCTTCTCTTCTGACACATGAATCATGACACCGAGTTGTTTGATGAATATTGCCTTGAATTTTGGTCGATGGAGATTTTTCAATGTCATCAAAGGAAATTAATGATTGAGTATTAGAATCTGTATCATAAAAAGAGACTAATTTAAGAAGTATCGTAGAGATTTGATTTCGCTTACTTAATCTATTGTTTGTCGTAAATCCAAATGAAATTTGATCGCAGTTAAAAGCAGTAAAAGCTGAGTCATATGATAAAGGTGCAGTATAATTCTCTTGATTATCTTGCATAAAATTTTCATTTCCTATGCAAGATCAATAACAAGTAAGTTCCAATATTGAAAAATGTTTGCGAATCATATGAGTAATTTTCTACATCAAAGCTCACTTACCATTTGTCGATGCCTCTACTGTTTGAAATATTTCTTGAGTCTGACAATCCATTTCTATTGCACCGATACTCAATGGTGAATTACACACTAAATTAAAATTTTAACTTATTGTAATAAGCAAAAGCACAATAATTTCAATAAATCATACTATGTTTTTCTGGTCCTGACTGAACACATTGTTGATTGCTTTGATTATCTAATGTATGTGATGGTACAATCTGTTGAAGTATTGTCAAAATTAAATCAATCTTCTGTTCTTGTCGAAGAAGAACCGATTCAATTTTTGCATCTGTTTGTTCTAATTTTCTGACAGCTGTTGAAAGTGATTGCATCATTTGCGCTTAATGAAAAAGAAAAGTTGTTAGCACAGTCCTTACAGAATGAAAATATGGGACACAATGCAGTTGTTGTTGCTAATCATAATGCGATTGTTTTATGCTATCTGATTTAAAACATATTACTTCACTATTCTTTTATTCAATCCTTCATAAATGCAACAAGTAAGTATTTCGTATATTATAATGAGACATTATTGATATATGGTCTTTGATCATATATTAATAGTGTCTGTGACACTTTTCTTCTAGATCATGTTTCACAAATAGCAACAACTGTAACCTAAGCAATCTAATATAAATGCATATTTACTCAAATAATTTTGATTTAATGATGTATCACAATCTATATATAAAATAAAATTAATCTGAACATATATTTTCATTATTGTCATAGATATTTACTATTCCACGAGTTCATTGGAATGCTTGATGATTGTAATTCACAATTTAAATTATGTTTAACTGTATTTTCGATATTATACTTGCCAGTTACTAGTGGATTTGGGATATTCAATTGACTTGGACAGCCTAAATTACATATATAACATCAATGTTTATTTCATCATAGGTTATTAACTCACCATCAGGATTTAAGAAGATATCATATATATCGTTCTCCCTATAAAACAAGTAACGTTCGTCGGTTCGACTCACTTAACCCTCGACTGTTTAAGACAGAAGTATATTCCGCGTTTGTTGTATGGAAAGAATTGGTCTACGAGCTTTATCACAATAACTGACTGAGATCTCGATTTCTTGAATCATAAAAGTCAAAGAATTTGATTGGCCATTTTGTAAAATAGCTCAGAATAAAGCTTACTTTTCAGAAATAGATTGTAAAAGCTAGCAATTCTTTATCAAACTGCACTTTAACTAATAAATATCGGAAGCAAAATAAATGTTATACTGTTACACACTAGTAGCATGATAAAATAAGCCGATTTTAGTTGGTAATATGTGTTCATACAGTAATTAAGAAACGTGACACTAAAAGTCCTATGTTTACGAACAATATGCAACTATAAATGATTCATTGGTAATGATGAGAATGTGAAGGAATCGGAAAATGTAAATAACTACTCAATATCATTTTATTATGTGATAAAAAAAAACAAAAACTACAGCATAAAAATTCATTATCAAGAACTACCAAAATGGATAGAATATATGTAAGAAAAATGTGCGAGAAAAAGATGTAAAATGCAAAAAAATTAATAGTAGAAATATAAAAAGTTTAACATGAACTACATATGGAAGATTATAAATGTAAACAATCATATGCAAAATTTCGTATAATATGAAGAAGACATTAAAATCGCTCAGAAAAACGCTTCTGTGTTTCTGAATATAGCTTATCTAGTCTTTCTATTTCGGCCAGTTGAGATTTACTTGGTTTGATTAATAAAACCTTGTAGTCAAAATGTCGCAAAATGACCAAATCAGCCAAGCGTTTTACACGTGATAATGGTACATAAATTGCAGCAATGTCATCAGTTTCATTTGGCAGTTTCAAATCAATTACAACATTATTTAAAGTTTGGCCTTGACTTTTATGTGTCGTAATACAATAAGCAGGTACAAGTGGTAGTGCACGCCGCTTTATTGATAAAATTGCCTTTCGATTTGATTTTGGTCTCTTATCTTTTGGTAGAACATCGCCAATATCAATTCGAAATGTTTGTTCCATTAACGGTATCGGAACAAGATTTGTTTGCAGTTGTTCAAGATTACATTCGATCTTCGATTTCACAGTTTCAATTAATGCATATGAAGGTTTACGAATGTATTGTGTATTGCTTGGAAATGTTTCGGAAAGAACTTCTGTTGACACAGAGTCTTCTTCATAGACAAGTTGTCGAAAGACTCCATTCATTCCGTTAATAAGGCCCAATTCAATAGCAACGTTTTGTGTTAAAATAACAGGCATTCCAGGAACAAGAGGCAGCAAACCCGGTAGATGCTCTGTTTTGCTATCGGATAATTCTAGCAATTTTTTAACGAGTGTCGGATCTTCAATTGATTTGCCTTTGCAAGTATCTTGAGCGACACATACAATTGGTGCTTGTCCCATTTCTGCTGCCTTGTGAATTGCTGCTTTGTTGTTCAATTGTGTTCGTACTTCATTTCGAAACACAAGAATCGGTGCCTAAAACGACAAAGATAGGAAATCATTAGAAATGGAAAAGAAGATTTACTTTATTCCAAGGTGAATCACGTAGAGATCCTACTGATGATTGTCCAACAACGCGTGTTAACAATAATTCATAATCGTCGTAATTACATTGTCCACGACGAAGTCGTTCGAGTAGTTGAAGGTACCGTGGATCTTCTGTTCGCATTTGTTGAGTAAGTTTTACCACACAATTAATTTGAAGAATTAAAGAACGGGCAACACGTTGTTGAATTTCTTTTTCTGTGGGTAGTTTACCAGATTTCTTTTTGGATGGTAATGAAAAATCGGTGTGCAATGGTGCATCATAAACAGGTCGATATTGTAAGTAGTCACCGAAAAAGATAACATTTACACCGCCAAATGGCACCTGTGGATCGACATGTTTTGCAGAGCAAATGATTCGATTGAGTTTTGCTAGTAAATTCAAACCAACCATACTCATTTCATCGATTAATAAGTATTCGACGAGTCTCCATTCTTTTTCGAGTTTTAAATCACCTGGCTTGATAGTTCGTGGCTTTCCGGAATTACGTTGTTCACCCAAAAATGAATGAATTGTCATACCACCTATTTCAGCAGCAGCAATTCCAGTTGGTGCAAGCTTTCGCATCATTTGCATCCTTTTCGTAACAAGAAAGTATTTGCTGAGAGCACGAATAAGTTGTGATTTGCCTGTACCGCCACATCCAGGTATGCACATTATAAGTTGATCATTATTATCACCTGAAAATACTATATACTTCAATTCCTGATAAATTAAGTTATAAAGGTACCTGTTCGACATCGGCTGTCCCCATCAAGATGGCTTGTTATTATCATGAATGCAGCTCGTTGTTCTCTATTTAATGTAAATTCATCAGCGATGGTTTTTTGAGTGGGAAAGTTAGTTGCGACTGAAACGACTGGAAGAATTGAGCCATAGTTTTCAAAATTGTTTTTATTATAATTATTTGGATTCACCACTGTTACAACAGCATCTTTTGCAGCATGTAAATCTAATGTATCATCTGCATTGGCGTAGTTGCCTGTAATTAAACTTTTTCTGACTCGTTCTTTTTCAGTCTTCAGTTGTTCTTGCCATTTTGTATTTAATCGAATAAGATTTGGCGTTGCAGAAATGAACGGTACAAGCTGTTGATTTACATAATTAATAGATTCATTTGAAGAAGACTGATGATGAGCTACAACAAATTTTACATATTCATTTTCAATTTTAAGTGACTAATCATCTTTAAATAAGACTTACTATTTATATGACTAAATCGTCCAACATTTTTGACTGCTTCAATAGTTTCTTCAATATATTTATCTTCTGTTGGTTTTTTCGTTGCATTAGTCGCTGCAGTTGTGTATTCATCTATATTGCCTAGTAATTCTAATAAGTCTTCACTGTCGTCCGCATCATGTTCGCCATCAATATCTTGATTTGCAGGCAAAAGAATAGGATCGATTGCATCATTATCAGTTTGAGCTTCAGCGATAATTTGAAGTAAATGTTCATCGCGATCTTTTTTACATTCATGTAAAAGTTGAATATTTTCTATGATCTCCCATGAACGAATGGAAATACGATTTTGTCGAGATTTAAGAGCATCTTCCCATGTTTGATTGATGCCACAAAGATCTGTAACGGTGCGCCAAGGTACGAAAAGTGTGAGAAGAACTCGACTATATCGTTCTCGAGTATCGTCACGATCCCGTCGAGGAATTTGTGGACCATAAAGAATAGGTACATGATGCTCACTATATTCCATCAAGAGATGTGTTGTTGTTTGTGGATGCTGCTTTTGGAAAGGATAACGTTGATTGCGTGGTCGACCTTTTTCGTTAATTTTGTCTTTCATCAATGTTGCAGCTTCGGATAAATACTTCAAATCTGCTGCGTTCACTTTTCTCTTGTACAATGTGCTAACAAAGTCGTATAAACACGTATCATTCAGAATATCGGAGCGGTATTGATAATCGATTCTTGTATTAATGAGTACGTATTTTTTATCATTTTCAGTTGATTGAATTTGAAAGTGTTCTTCGCCATTGTTTTCATCATCAATAGCTTCATCATCGTCTACATCTTCGTCGGTTACATCTGAACAAAAAAAAAGACATATATCTTAGTTGTTATTTATTTATGATATTTCAGCTCAAGCAATCTTCACTGTTTCTCATTCACATGTGTAGTAGAAATAACTGTTAGAATATTTTTTCTACCGGGTGGGCCAAAAGTAAGGAAACAAAAAGGGTATGCTATAATAAAGGATAATAAATTGTTAATGATATTTTTCATACCTTATATTGATGTAGAGAGCTAAAATTTTTATCACATATATATCTAGTTAAGATCTTTTATGTCTGAAAGTTTCAGCTTTCCACATCAATAAAAAGTGTAAAAAAGATCATTAACAATCTATTATCCATTATTATAGCATACCATTTTTGTTTCCTTACTTTTGGCTCACCCGGTATTGTACAGTTTAAGATTTGAGTAACATCAAATAGAACATTTCGACAAAACAAAGACGAGAGAAGAGGAAAAAAATATCGTACTGGTTCTCTGTATGATATATCAGGAAAAAAAGATATATATAATGAATACCACTATTATAGGCCTAACATAGCAAACTATATTTTCGATGAATAAAATAACCATTAACTTAATTTTTAGAGATAAGTTCCTTTCACGTCTTTCTTCCTCTGCTCATCCTGTTTTATCCTTA